TCTAAGTTTTTACCTGAATAGATTATCTATCGTAATTTTTACGAAACCGTGTTAGTTCAAATCGAAAAGTACAGTTACAACTTAAACGATAGTAATTAGGTAAGTAAATTTCTTAGATTTAACGTACGGATTTGTAGATATTCTAGTAATGAAAAAAGCCTCAAACATAAAATGGAATTGTAAACCAACGGAAAATATTCCCTTTAGATTCGTACATCCGTGCAGTTATACGCCGAACAGAGAACAACGTTAATTTTCTTTACACAGCATCCACTAAACAGCTTCTGATCATCAACGGATAATATGAATTACATTAAGGTATTTGTATACTAAATTTCAGTAATACCTAACTAAGACACATAGAATAAAATGTAAATACGACGGGAGTGTTGAGTCCAGATCGTTTACCGTATCTCACGTAATTTCATGCCACGTAATCACTGATTGCATCGTACTCGAACGTGTCTTCTCGTCAACGCTGCCTCTACTCTCAACACAAAAAGAAAGAGGTCACTTCGATATCTCGCCACTTTGATATCGCTAATATTTATTAAAATTTTAAACCGTAGAGTACGCCATTGTCTGACAGCTAACGTTGCAGTTAACTTCGTCATCGATTCTGGCACAAAGTTGATAGGAAAACCGTGCTGACATCGACGATAACCGCTGTTTAACGGTGAACGTATAAATTACATTTCTCATAATATACCAGTGCACCACTCGCTCACGTACACGTACACACACACGCGCGCGCGCGGGCGCACGTGCACATACACGACCTCACGCGTGCGCACGCACACAAGCTCGTATAACTCTCGTGGAATAGTAGTAGAGGGGTTGAGGGCATCATGGGCGGCAGCAGGAAAGAAGTGCTCCCGGGAGTAGTTTTAAAATGCAAACTTGCCGGTGTGTCCCTTGAGACGTTCGACGCCTTCGGGCGTTCAGCCGGTAAACAAAAGCCATGTGCACGCGAGATAACAACAATAGGTATATACGTATAACATAGTACGTTCGTACGAATATACGAGTATGAATGTAGAGGAGGAAGACGAGAAGAAGTCTGAACTGAAGGGCCGTGGAGGGGCAGGTACCTTTGGGAGGCGACAGTATGATGTGCGCTATCCCCCGCAACCCCTGCGTTACACCTGCGTGCTTCTCGCCTCTGCCCATCACCATCCCACCCTTTATGCCACGGCTACTCTTCCACCGATTCGTACACGCGTATCCCCCGTAGACTAATATGTCAGCGAGCTACCGTTTTCCGAAGGTTACCTCTATACACGAACGGCACCCCGGAGGACGTTCGACGCCTCCCCCTACCTCGTGCGTCTCTCCTGCGGTTTGTGTATATAATATAGGTAGGTACACTGCTCGGTCACATGTCTAAACGCATATAAAATATTATTATCGTTTTACGAAGACGGAAAAAGTGTGTCTTGTTATCGAAAAATGAATAAAAAAAGTATACCATTTCTAGTCGCAGTCACCATGATGGCCAATGTGGAGGTATATTTAAAACATGTCGCGCTGTGTATAATTGTGTCTAACCTTGTCGTATGTGTGCGTGAATGCCTACATACGTAAGTGTGTGTGTGTATGTGAGTAGCACTCATCAATTCTCCTAGTGGTTTTGTGGGGGATGTAGAAATGGTATTACGGTATAGGCCGAGGGTGAAGAGTGACAAGCAGCGGGTTGCACACGTATATGTGTGCTCTAATGGCGGGGGGGTTAGCAGGAGGTTTTCCGACGAGTAGCGGCGGCGGCAGCGACGGCGGTGGTGGAAAGGAGGGGATCGAAAGCGCGAGCGTTACTCTGGGGAAATTGCTGCGCCTCGCTAAGCCACTCTGATGGAGTTGCCGGCAATCCCAGGTGGCCGGCGGCCTCTCGGCTTATCTACCCGTCCATCCAGTTGCCCGCCCGCCAGTCCACCCGCCGACCGACACGGTCACCCCGCGCGCCCCGTCCGCTCTGAATTCGCACCGGTCGAACTCGAGCCCACTCCGCCCGACCGCGTCCCTCGACGCCACCACGCCACTACCACTACGCACCACCCGCCCACCACCGCCACCGCCGACCACGTCACTCTAGAGGATATCTGCCCGTCCCGCCGGAGGCTCGGCGCTTTTTTTCCTCCAGACACCGCCAGGACTTTATCATAACAACGTCGAGTGCACGCGCGAAACGAGTTGATTCCCCGACATCGACTAATTGAAAACCGCGTACACGGTACACATGCCACCACGATGGTCTACGAGTCGCAAGTGTCAAGCATGCACGTTATTATCTATCGCGACTGTGCGGTACTCGGGCATGCGACGGCGGACAAGAGATATTTTCGTTTCTCGTGTTATTTGTTGTAATTTAACACCCCCTCCCCACGAAAATCATTAGTGTAAAGCACGAGTATACGTACACGCAGAGGTGGAACTAGGAATTTTTACGTCCGGGGAAAGTGTTAAAATTACGCCCTATTATAGACCAATAATCAAATACTCTTCTCGAATATTTTTTTTCTAATAATTAATATACAATCATAATTATTGAGTTTTAACCTAATAACAGTATTAAAAATATAGTTAAAAATATCAAATTAATTGTTAATAATTACAAAAATTACACCCTCTAAAATTTTACACCCGGGGATGAATCCCCGTCGTCTTTCATCCCCTAGTTCCACCCCTGTGTATAAGTATATATATACGAGTACGCGTGTACTTGTACGCACACTGCACACTGTTTTGCATGTAATACATTATACGAGTATATGAGTATACGAACACTGTGCATACGTTTAAGAGTTAATTTTTGCAAGAAAAAAAAAAATGTGCAATCCATTTTGTACACGAATACATGTCCACGTCACGTCGTTTTCCTAAAACAAAGTATACAATTATATTTATTGTCTTAGCGTTTTTTCCATATATTCAGGAATATATGAATCAGGAGAAAAAATTCGAAACTACATTTTTTTTTAGAATTGTATCACAAATTCAATCCATGTGATGAATACGCTATTTTTGTTTTATTTTTTTATCGCTCCAACTTCATCGGTCGGTTTTAATGTCATGTTACACGCCACTTTATCGTCCGTCGTTAGCTATTATATTTACTTCTGGTTAAGACCCAACGTTATCCACGTCCTCCGAGTTGACTGTATAATTCTCTCTGAAACATTTTCATCCATATATGCTTCAGAACTTTCTGGTGGCATCTTTTATCTCGGACCATCATGCATTTATACGTGACCTATATACAAACCTTATATTTTATAGTATTGATCTAACATAGTTTTTCCCGTATCAACTATTCATGATGTATAATTATTAAACTTTACAGCGGTAATTTAATTACTATACATCTACGTTGTGTTCATTTCAAAATTTTTGAACTCTAAAATTAATAAACAGGTATACATTTTTTTTAGTTTTATTGCAAAAATTATTAATTCTTTTATGCACAACATTCGTAACTCACTTGTACACTACATTTTTTTTTCTTACAGTGTAATAATTAATATACAGTTTTATTGTATTTATTTAGAAGTATGTATTTTTTTATGATACTTCATATTAATTATACTATTTATTTGTACTGTAATATTAGATATTTATTCAATTACCAAAAATATATACCTATTTAAAATATACCCAATCAATAGTCAGCAATAAACTACCAAGTTTAAGTTTGAAATTTAAGACATAATTAGCTATGAACATTTAAAATAAAATATATATATTTATATAAACGTTGTAACTTTTTACTTTGATATTCGAAATACTAAAAAAAGAAAAACACGATCAACAAAATAAAAGCAACATAACATTTAAATACTAAGAAACAGTAATAATCGCGTAAATATGTTTAAAAACGTAATAGATTTCACGATGAAAGAAAGAGAAGGTAGAGGCCATACAACTTGGTTTTTGAGACTGGGGGATGCAATTAATCAGGAGTCAAAAGCGGGGCACGATGCCCCCCCGGGGATACCACAAGGCGCATACCTAATATTGACTTGCCCGCCGCTGAGGCGTTTGCCTTTGCATGCCGTAAGAGTATCCGGAAAAAAAAAACGCACAAGAAAAACTCTGATTAGTCGGCAAACCCCTCGAGAACCATAACCCCCTCGCATAAAAGGTAAGTTTCTCCATCCACCGCCATCACCACTACTACCACCACCAGTCTTCCATTGGTTTTTTCTCCTCTTTTTCTTCTTATCTCTTCGCGCTGTAATTGAAACGGCATTTCTCTTCCACTTATTCTTTATATATATATACATAGTTCCAAGATAATATTACACTGAGCCTGTATATATATACATATTTTTCCTACCATAATAAACGATAGAAAAAATATTATAAAAATCGTTTAAATGAGGTTTTAATGGATATTTTTACTTTTTTTTTTTTGTGTAAACTTTTTTATACACCTGCGATGAGTAAAAAACTGTAAAAGAGAATGAAAGTTAGAAAGAAAAACAGAGATACAGGAAATAGAGAAAGAGTAGGATGGAAATGCCTGGCAGGTAAAAGTGGAAATAGAGAGGAGCAGCCGGTGAAAAAATAAGGACTGAGGGTGATAGAAAGGGATAGAGAGAACAAACCGTTCCCATTGGCATAATGAAACACGTATGAACCGTGGAAATACCGCGTGAAAAGCGGCCAATTTAGTTGAAACGCAACCTCGTTGTCCTGGGTTTGTGGTGGGTGGCGGTCAGGAGTGGAAATTGCAAAAGGAATTTCCCGCACCTCGTTTCTTCGTTACGGCTGGCCCCAAGGGATGCTGAAAATCCCCCTAGCACCTGCAGGAGCAACTCAAAAATCCTGGGATTTTATTCACATAGCTGCTGGGACCACACGAACGATATAAGAGAAAACGACATATGTATGTATAAATATATATGTTATATGTATATACATTATATATATATATAACTGGAAAAAAGGAAAAAATCAATGTTCCTATGATTTTTAAGAAAATAATTTATTTTGTTTTCACTCACCTGTAGGAGATAGTGGCGGCATAATGTCTTCATCATCAAATACGTCTTCTGCGTCAGGATTTCCATCTACAAATCATTAATGAAGTATATATTAGACTTTTTTAAAATATTACATCTACGATTAGCATCAAATTTACATCAAATAATACAAGAAAAAAAATGTTCAAAAACAAATATTATAGAAAATACTATAGCTTATATACTTACGAGTACACGGAATAATATATAATACTCAATAAATACTATTACACCATTTAAAAATATGTCATAGGGTCATTATTGTACTCAACTTTTATTGGAGACTTAAGTTGTATTGTAAATCAATAAATATATACGTAAATCAGTGTTTTTCAATGTTTCTATTACGGTGAAACATCATTAAAATATTTTATATTTTGCGACGCATGGTTAAAAATGGTTTTATTTATATATTGGAATTTAAATGATTAAAAAAAAAGTCATACAAAAATCTTATTCAATATAATATCTACTTGTGCATTAATATTTAATTTTAATAAAAAATAATTAAATCAGAATTTTTAAATTCATAAGTCTTAAACAATATAACTTAATATGCTTTATTGTATAAAATATCAATTTATATTATGTGTTATTTAATGTTATTGCGACACATTGGGATTTAACACCAGTGTTTCTCAACCGCATTATATATGTAATATGTATCCTACAACACAACAGTGTCAAAAAACAGCGGTTGAAAAACACTGGTGTATACAATACACTATTAAATAATTTATTTTTATTTTCATGAAAGTATTTTAAAATTACATTATTAGGATTTTGGAGAATTGTAAAGAAAATACTGTTTCGTTTTAATATAAAAATTAATTAACACGGATAAAATCTATAAGACAGTCAGAAGTATTTATTAAAAATATAAATTGAATTCTATGCAATGCACATAAATTAAATTAATTCAATCATAATTAACACAATTTTAACCTATCATGAATAATTATCATCCACTAACTAAATAATTATTAATTATATATAAATACATTCGTATATTTTAAGATCAAACAAAAAATTAATTTTTTTTATATAAAATATTATGATCTGGTATTACCATGTTAGGCTAAAATTTGGTTAAAATATTTAACACAAATAATACTATTTAAAATCATTATCAACGTGAAAATTTTTAACTGTCACTTTATGTTATAGTAATGTTACATCGTCGTGTTATTATGACATTTACACTACAACACTGACCTCGTTTCATTACTACGTAGCAAACATAAATGTAATATCGGTACCATAAAGTCAAGTCGATTTTTACCCGTTAAATATATGTTTATACCGCAACGTTGTACATTTTTATATTAAACTTATATGGTAGTAGGACCTCGCCTCCAATAATAACAATAATATAATACATTTTAAAAAATATGAGATATACCTAACAGTATTATATACATCCATTACACATTTTAATAAATACATTTGATAAAATAAAAAACTTTTAAATGTATAGGAATGTCCAAATGTGACAGTATTAAAAATTAAACTTGATAAACTTTTGTCTACAGCTCGAGTAACATTACAATTTTCACGTAAATGTAGATGTTTCTATTATACCTTATCATCAATTGCAATACGGTGTACCAAATAATACTGTGTACCTTAGATACAAATTTAATAGGTACCTAAGCATTATCCGCGATATTTTATAATATGCGATTTTGTATTTTATTGATTGATTTCCTAATTAAAGACTAAAACGCGATACTCAACTGTAATTTTTAAAGCATGAAAGTTTATGAGCACCATAAAGCATTGCATTATAATAAATATACATGATATGCGTAATATTTATGTAAGATCTAATAAATTATTTTCAAACTTTTATACAGATCGTAGTACCCGAAAAAAAGTTACTTTTATTTACTTATACATAGCTACGTAACTTAGTAGTATGAGTAGTATACGATTTATGCTCAATTTTAAGAAGATGGTGATGCGTGTAAATCACTTTTCTTTTAAGCTGTTATTTAGATTTAACATTTTGATTTAAGAATTAATACAAATCCTAATAGGAAGTCTATACGTTGATAATATTACTGTATTGACTTTATAAATTATTACATTTTTTTAGTTCATAACTTGAAAATATTAATTTTATAGGTGTTCGGAAATTTTTAAACGATTAAAAAAACTCCTTAAGTCGAGTGATAAGGTACTTCAATTCCTATTTAACCACTTTTGAATGAGCTTCAACTACAGAGTATCGCTACTAACAAGAGTGAATGAGATCAGTCAATCTTCTGTGTAGTATATCCTTGACAAAACTATATTCCATGTGCATACGTGTGTCCATAATTTTTTGTATTTTTATTGTTGTACGTGATATTATATTAGGTAAAGCACGTAAATTATTTCGTCAACGGTGAATTTTATATTAAAATACGATGTCGAGACGGGTATAGGTGTACTGATAGCGCATCGGAGAAAAACCGATACCAATCCAAAAGGGAATAAATACGATGGGCTTTCGATCGTGAATACTGCGCGTGCATAAGTGCAATGCGATGTATCCCATCAAAACGATAATTTACTTGTCGAATATTTTATCATCCTAATGTCAGGTAATGCCAGCAACGAATCCGTTTTCGCGGGGAAATATAATACCCTTTATTACGCACCGCGTGTGTGTAATATATATTAGATACATATCGAACCATCCCGTTTTATACGTGTGCGTAAGTGCGCTTTATAAAAACCAACTACGGATACCGATTCAATGAGTATCATCGGCCAATTGAATATTATTATTCCATTCAACGCAACGTGCGATTCGGACATGCGCGCAAAATTGTCGTATCGCCCTCTTCGAACAAATTGTCAACTGAACCAAACTCACAATATAATATTCGTATACTTTCTTTGACTGAGTAAACATTTTTTGAAAACGAGATCTATAATAGTAAATGTTGAAAATCTTTGATATTGATAAATATTTTATACTCCATATGGGTATTTTATACAAATTGAAGTTTGCTTCTCCGTTTAACAGTTATAAAAATGTTAATTATTTATAATCGTATCGATTGTTGGTTACAAAAATAATGTTTTTTTTAACCATAATAATTAAAATAATATTATTAATAAACATCGATTTGAAGATAGTTATTTAAATAATGCAAATGCAATAATAATGACTATATATAATTTTACATGGTTGTTGGAAGTGCAATTAATTTACTATATAAGCTACAAGTAGTTAATAACCCCACAACTTTTTTCAAAGTAGAAAATAAAATTAAAATCCACTACAAAATATAAAAAGTAATTATCTGCATATAATCAGGATCACAGATACGAACCAATATTTAACCCGTGATACAAAATTGAAATATAGATCAAACCGTCTGAGGAACATAAATATATTTTAAAACATTTTGTACAAATAAGATCTTTTTTTTTTTAATTTTATTTAACATAAACAATCTATACAATATTGCACAATAAGTTTATTTGATGAGAGAAGAATATAACATAAAAAGGTATTATTTACATTAAATTTTAAAGTTTTGTAATAAATCGCGGAAATACTTTCTTTTTAATCTACGGTTAGGATTTCCTGAGAGTGTACGAATAGAGAGATCTCTTATAAGAGGGTTAGGATGAGTTTGGAGTCGTTTGTGGAAGCGCGTGTAAAAGATGCGAACCTCTTCTACTATTGTTCTCATATGAAGATCATTATGAAATGTTAAATTGAAGATGTAGGGTGGAGCATTAGATAGTCGTCAGAGAGATATATTTTGGAACGTTTGACTTCTATCGGTGTTGGATTTTTTGGCTGTGCCCCATAGTTGAAGGCCATACGTCCAGATTGACTTGAGTAAAGATTTATATATTAATAATTTGGTGATCAGAGTGGAGAATTTATTTCTGATTAAAAGAGGTCTGAGCATACGCATACGGTTATTTAATGTTATTCTTTTTGTTCGAAGGTGTTTATTCCATGTCAAACTTTTATTCAGGATTAATCCCAAGTATTTGACTGTATCGGATGTAGGAATTTGTACATTTTTAAGGGTAATGTTTGGGCATATACCTTGTTTTAATGTGAATGTTGTATGTACAGATTTATTTTGGTTTATTTTAACTCTCCATTTGTCGTACCATACAGATAAGTAATTTAGGTGGATTTGTAGATTTGATGAGGCAGTTATAGGATCATTATTAATAGATATAATAACTTTATCGTCAGCATAGTCGGCTACAATGGTTTTTTTGTGTGGTAGGTTGGTCGACTACATAGATGTTAAAGAAGCAGAGAGATAGTATGCCACCTTGTGGGACACCAGCTTTGATTTTTTCGATTCCAGATGTGGATGAGTTATATTGCATTTGGAAGTATCTATCGGTTGAGTATGACTTGAGTAAGCTGAATAACAAAGAAGGGAGAAATTGTTTGAGTTTAAATTGTAAGCCTTCGTGCCAAACTCTGTCAAACGCTTGTGAAACATCTAAAAAACACAAGAGCGATATAGTTTTTTTTCCAAGGACGTAGAAATAGCATCGAAAACACGATGTACTTGGTGAATCGTGCTGTGTGAATTACGGAACCCGAACTGCGTATTTGGGAATATGCTATTATCCATAATATACGGAAATATGCATTTTAGGATAAGTCTTTCTAAAATTTTTGATAAAAAGGACAAGAGATTTATTGATCTAAATGAGATTGAAGTGTCAAGTGGTTTGTCTGGTTTAGCGAAGAGAATAATATTAAAAAATTTCCATAAAATTGGAAAGCATGAAAGTCTGAGAGAAGCATTGAATATATATGTTATAAGAACTATGGCTTTTTTTGGAAGACATCTAGTTACTTCTGCGGTAATTAGGTCGAAGTCGGGTGATTTTTTTTTCGAGTACTTTAGGATTGTATGTTTAACTTAATTTGGAGTAAAGTGTCTTACTGGAGGGCTATGATATGGTGGCAGGTTTAAAAAGGTATTAACCATATTTACTTGTTGAAGTATGAGTATATCATGGTGAGGTTGAAACGTTTCATGTAAGTGGGTTTTGAATAATTCGGC